TTGTAATACTAAGATGATGATTTGTGAAACATGAATACCTGAAGTTAGTACAAGGGAAAGCATTGCCTTTGCAAAAGAATTATGCTAACAGATGTATAGTTTTCGTGTAAATACTGCTCTCGTCACTTACTGTTACGGGAATGATATATTTCTTCCTCCGGTACTGTGAAATTACTGAACACAGTCTATGGGATATATACATTTTAACTTATTACTTACTACCTAACACTAAAAATAAGTAATCAATTAGAATATAGCATTAGCTATTAATGCTTATAAACACACTTCTTTTGAGCAAAAGTTTGTTAGGCCTGATATTATTACTAAGGCTCAAATAATTAAGGCTAATCAATTAGAAAATGGAGGGAAGAAGAAGAGGAAGAGAGGAAGAGGAAGAGGTAGAGAGGAGAGTAAGGATAGGAAGAGGGAGTAGAAAAGGAAGAGAGAGGAGAAAGAAAGAAAAGAAGGGTAGAAGTAGAGAGGACGAGGGGAAGGGAAGAAAGAGGAAGGAAAGGTAAGGAGAAAATTAAGTAGGAGGGAGAGTAGAAGAGAGAAGAGAAGAAGAAGAGGGAGCAAGAAAAGAAGGGAGGGAGGAGAGAGGGGAAGGATAGGAGGAAAAGAGGGAGGAAGAGAAGAAGGTAGAGGGAGGGGTTAGCGTAGGAAGGAAAGAGGGGAAATTAGAGGGAAAGGGAGGAAGGGGAGAGGGAAGAGAGGAAAGAGAGAGGGAGGAGAGAGGGGGAAAAGAGGGAGGTGAAGAGAGGGGAGAGAGGGGAAGAGAGAGGGAGGGGGAGAGGAAGGAAGATGAAGAGGGGTAGAGATAAGGAAGGAGAGAGAGAGGAAAAGAAAGAAGAAGAAGGAGGAAGGAAGAAGGAGTAGGAGGGAGAGAGGGAAGATTAGGAAGAAAGAGCGGGTAGGGAGGAAAAGAAGAGAAGGAGAAAAGAAAAAAAGACGAAAAAGATAAGAAGAAAAGTAGGAAAGGAAGGAGGAGAAGGAGAAGAGGGAGGGAGGGGAGGGAGAGAAAGAAGGGAGAGGAGGAGGGGGAGGGGGAGAGGAAGGGGTAGGAGAGGGGGAAGAAGAGGAGCGGGATAAGAAGAGGAAGAAGAAATAGGAGAAGAAGGGAAGAAAGGGAGAAAAATTAGGAAGGAAAGAAAGAGGGAAAAGGGAGGAAATAAGAAGGAAAGGAAGGGAGGGGATAAAGAGATGAGAGAAGAAAGGAAGAAGGGAGGGAGTAAGAGAGAAGGAAGAGAGGAAAGGAGGGAGGGAGAGAGGGAGGGAAGAAGGAGAGAAGGGAAGAAGGGAGAGAAAAGGAGGTAAGAGAAAAGAGAGAGGAAGGGAAAGGGAGAGGAGTAGAAGAGAGTAGTAGAGGTGAGGAAGGGGAGAGGTAGAGAAGGAGGTAGGGAGGAGGAGGAAAGGCAGAGAAAGGGTAGAGAAGAGGAGAGGAGAAAGAAAGGGAAAAAGAGGGGAAAGAAGAGGAAAAGGAAGAGGTAGAGAAGGAAGGAGGGAGGAGAGGAAGGAAAGAAGAGGAAAGAAAGAGAGGAGGAAAAAGAGAGGAGTAGAAAGGAAGGGAGGTAGGAGGAGGAGGGAGAAGAAGGAAAGGAGGAGGAGGAGGAAGAGAAAGGGAGAGGAGAGAATGAGAGAGGGAAAAGATTAGGGAAAAAGGGAGAGAAGGGAGAGAGGGAGAGGAGGAGGAAAAAGAGGGAGGGGAGGAGGAAGGAATAGGAAGGAGAGGTAGGAGAAGAAAGGTAAGAAGAGAGAGGAAGAGAAGAGGGAGTAGGAAAGAGAGAGAGAGGGAAAGAGTTAGGGAGGAGGGAAGAGAAAGGAAGATAGGGAGAAGAGAAAGAGCGAAAGAAGAGAAAGAGAAGGAAAGAAGAGGAGGGGATAGAGATAGGGGGTAGAGAGGAGGAGGGAAGGAGGAGAGAGGAAGAAAAGAAGGAGAAGAGAAGGAAGAGAGGTAGGATTATAGAGAGAAGGAAAAAAAGGAAAAAGAAAGAAGAGAAGGAAAAGAGAGGGGAGGAGGGGGAAGGGAAAAGGAGATAGGAGTAGAATGGAGAAAGGGTAAGAAGAATAGAGAGGAAAAGAGAGAAGGAAGAAAAAGGAAAGGGAAAGAAAAAAGGGGGAGGGATGAGAGGGGGATAGGAGGGAGAATAGAGAGAGAAAAAAGAAGAAAGGAGAAATAGAGAATAGAGGAGAGGAGAGGGGAGGAGAGGAGAAAGGAGTGGAAGAAGGGGAAGGGGGAGAGATAGTAGGAGGAAGGTAAAGAAAGGGGGAGAAGTAGGAGATGAATAGAGAGAGAGGAGAGATAGGAAAGGAGAGTAGAGATAGAGTTAGGGGAAGGAAAGAAAGAAGATAGGAGGAGTAGAAAGGAGAGGTAGGGAGAGAAGAAGTAGAAAGGTAGAGAGAAGAGGAGAGAGGGAGAGGAGAAAAAGGAGTAGAATGAGAAGGAAGAAGGAGGAAGTAGAAAAAAGGGGCGAAGATAAGAGAGAGGGGGAAAGAAGGGAGGAGAGGAAAAAGAAAATAGGGAATAGTAGGGAAGAAGAAGGAGAGTAGGAAGAAGAGAAAGAGGGAAGGGAGAAGAAGAGAAAGGAGGAGTAGGGGGGAGGAGGGGGGATAGTAGGGAAGGAGGAGAAGAGAGAATAGGAAGAGAGGAGGGGAGGAGAGTAGAAGGGAAAGAGAAGAAGGAAGAAAGAGGAGGGAAAAGGAGAACGGAGAAGAGAGAGGAAGGGAGAGAGTAAAGAGAAGAGTAGAGGAGGAAGGGAAGAAGGAGAGGGGGAGAAGGGGAAGGGAGGAGAGGGGGAAGAGGGAGAGAGGGAGGGAGAGAGGGAGAGAGAGGAGGATAAGGAGAAAGAGGGAGAAGAAAAGGAGGAGAGAGGAAAAAGAGAAGGGGGGTAAGGAGGGGAAGAGAGAGAAGGGAAAAGGTTAGAGAGAGAAAGAAAAGGAAAGGAGAGAAAGGGAGGAAAAGAGGGAGGGGAAAAGAGAGAGAAAGAGAAAGGGAGAGATAGGGAAGGGGAGGTGAAGAGAGGGAGTACGGGAGGAGAAGGAGAGAGGGGAGGGAAGGGGTAGGAGAGAGGGGGAGGGGAGGGAGAAGGGAAGGAGTAGGAAGAGAGGGAGGGAGGAGAAAGAGAAGAAGAAGAGGAGGGAGAAGAAAGGAAGAGGGGAGGAGTAGAAAAATAGAGAAGAGAGGATTAAGGAAAAGGGAGGAAAGAAGGAAGAAGAGAGAGGGAGAGGGGAAAAGAGGGAAAAAAGAAGAGAAGGGGAAAAGAAGGAAAGAGAAGGGGGGAGGGAAAAGAGAGATAAGAAAAGAAGAAAGAAAGGAAAGGAAAAAGTAGGGAGGAAAAGGAAAGAGAGAAAAGGTAGAAGTGAAGAAGAAGAAAAGAGAGAAGAGAAAGGGAGGTAGAAGGAAGGAAAAGGTTAAGAGGGAGTAGGAAGAAGGATAGAAAGAAGAGGTAGTGAAAAGGAGAAGAATAGGAAAGGAGAGCGGGAAAGGAGAAAGAAAAGTAGAGAAGGAGGAGTAGAAGGGTAGAGAGGGGAAAAAGAAAGAAAGGAGAGAGAGGAAGAGGAGGGAAGGGTAGAAGTAGAAGGAAGGGTAGGGGAGAAAGAAAGAAGGAGTAGAGGGAGTAGAGGAAAAAGAAAGGAAGAGGTAGAAGAAAGTAGAAAGTAGAAGGAAGGAAGAAAGGAGAGAAGAAGGGAGGGAAGAAGATGAAAGAGGATAAGGGAGATAAGAGGGGGGAGTAGAGGGAGAAGAGGAAAGAAAAGGGAAGGAGAGGAAAAGCTAAGGAAAGAATGGCGAAAGAGAAGAGGGGGAGAAGAGAAAGAGTAGGGTTAGAAAGGAAGGAAGAGGAAGAAGGAGGGGGAGAGAGAAGAAGAAGGAGGAGAGGAGAAGTAAGAGGTTAGAGGAGGGAAAAGAGTAGGAGAATATAGAGGAAGGAAGAGAGGAGAAAAGAAGAAAAAAGAGGGTAGGAGAGAAAGAGGAAAAAAGGAGAGAAAAAGAAGAGAAGAAGAAGTAGGAGAAGAAAAGAGAGAAGGAAGGAAGGAGAGGATAGGGGAAAAGGGAGAGGGAAGGAATAGAGAATATAGCATTGCTATTAATGCTTATGAAACACAAACTTACCTTTTGAGCAAAAGTTTGTTAGGCCTGATATTATTACTAAGGAAAGTTGTCATAACTATTAGAAAATAGTATAACAATATAGGAATAAGCTTTATCATCCACTAAAACTGGAGAAGATCTAGAGTATCAGCATTTGCCAAGTGGGAGTTATTGTTTGGATGATGAGTGGAAACCATACTCGGCTGCCTCGGGTTCATGGCTGGGAAGTGACTCGCATAAAAGTTATTGGTCATTCGTGGCACCATCGCAGCGGCAGAGGTGGTCTGCTGCTGCGGTTGTGACATTCTCTGCACTGCCCACCCACCAGGGATACAGTTGTTGTTATTTAAGTTATAGGCATTATTGTTAGCAAAGGTACTGGAAGCCATTCCTATCCCTCTCCCAACCTGGTATGGCTGAGGATGGGGAGGCAACATCCTGGGGTTCTGAACAAAAGGCGTGCTGGGCCGCAGCCGGCCAGCCACACCCGCACCAAAATGAGCACCGGGTTGAGAGGGGGATGCATACATTTGCATTATCTGGGCATTGAGTGCACCAGAGTTAGACCTACTGCTCTCACCAGAACCTGAAGTGACATCCACAAAGCTAAGCAAGTCTTCTCCAGGGTTGGGAACGGTGTCTTTGCTCTCCGCTCTGGCACCCAAAACAGCACTCCCCAAGGTATTGTCAACTCTGGGTAAGGCACTTGCCTGAGGTTGGCCTGAAATCTGAGGAATGTCCCTCCACCTTAAGCACCCAGCTTGTTGGCCATCCACATGCACTTTCTTAGGGTACAGCAAAGAAGAGGAAGAACAAGAAGTAGTGGTAAAGGAAGAGGCAGAACGGGAAGTGGAGGAGGAGGATGGGAGAGTTGAGAAAAAGGATGTTGATGAGTAGACTGATGATGGATTACCTGAAGGTGGGAAAAATGCCTCCATAGACCCAGAGCAAGGCTGAGTGCTCAAGCTCGGGGGCTGACTGCTGGCTGTTCCTGCTGGAGCTGTCCCTCCTCCTGTTGAAGGCCCATACTGACTAGCGGGGAATGACTGGTGGGTGGGAGGGAAGGTCTCAGACCCAAACAATGCCGCAGGGGGAAAAGCTGTGGTGGGGCTCACATCCCCTAAGGACTGTGTTTGCTGCTGCGATGCTTGACTGTGTTGCTGCTGTGGCTGCTGCTGTTGTGGTGCTTGTTGTTGTGTTATCTGTGTTTGTTGTTGTTGCTGTGGCTGCTGCGTTTGCTGCTGTTGGCCCGGTTGTTGTGATTGCTGCTGGACATTACCACTGTCACTGGATGGCACTCCTATGTTTCTTTTCAAACCTGAAATGAAAACACAAAAATGCTAATTGTGTTGTAGTTGTAACACCTTCACTCTCACATATGCACTTTACTGAAAGAGGATATCATCATCTCTTGCAAAACAAGGACTTTTGTAAGTGTTCATTGTGTATTATTGCCTCTTTGTCACTTATGTTATGTTATATTATACACCATTCTATGTGATTTTAACTCACTCACACCAGATGACATCTAGTGGAGTGGAAATCCCATTGTCTTAAGTAAACAAAAACAGATCCCTCCTTCAAAACCTTTTTTCCTTATGAACATCCTACCTTGCATAGAATTTACTATACTCTGGATACACTGAACTAATATATCTATATACTATATTTTAGGGGAAAAAAGGTCTATAATAAATCTCATCACTAGCAGTAAGCCCAACACCTTCAAAGGAGATTATACCTCTTTTAAATGAATTTCACATCACTGAAAACATGTATTGAGCAAGTTTGCTTACCTTATGCTACACTATGGCAAAATAACAGAAATACCTATTACTATGGAACTAATTGCCTTAAAAGATGATAAACACATTGATGTAATCGTTTCTGTATATCCACTTCCATTCAATGAACTTTATAATGATCTCGCCTTCATATCATTGGTAAACTATCTTAAAAATTATCTACACTAAGACCATCATAAAATAAGCATGGGATGACTAACTACACTGACCATAAATCTACATAAAAATAAAAATCTCATACAGTATGTTACAAGTTGACCCTGATCTACAGATACCTATACCATGCTTATCCATACCCCTTTGTATCTCCTAATGAGTAAAACAAAGAAAAATGAACAGCATCTCCTCCATCCACACCCCTAAGGGTAAGGAAACACATACCTTGAGTGTTCTGTAGTGGAGGACCTAGAGGGAGAGCCCCCACAGGACCCCCTAAGGAACCAGGATGCTGCGATGCCTTTGGCCGCTGCCGTGGGGCGACCGAAGTACTTTCTATCACTGGCACTATGGGGGCACGGCTGACCTTCACTGACGATTGCTGTTCTCTCTCACTGACCATCTGGCAAAGCTGGTCTAATGACGGCACAGTGACGTTCTGCAAATTTTTTGTGTGTTGAGATTTAGTGATTATTTTTTCTTTCTATTAATCTATAATTATTACATGTTTTATCTACATATCATTCTTTAGATTGGTAGCACATTTTCCCCTTCATTTCATTATCTGAAAAATAAACACTCACAAACATTGGTCTGAGTCACTATGTGTAGAGTTCAAATGAAGTCATATATAATACCAGAACAATAAATATAAAAACAATAATAATTATTATAATTATAACAATAATAATAATAATAATAAAATTAACAATAATAATAATAGTAAATAATGATGATAATAATCATTTTTATTATCATTACAACATCTAATAAGCCACAAAAAATGACTCACGCTCAAAAAAGTGTGGCAATGAAATCAACAAAACTAAAATAAATATATAATAATACGAAAACAAATGGTCACTTTCAACCTTCACCCAATGCCACTGAGAAAATGTTATGTTCACTGTAGTTTTGCTTTGTGAAACGTCTCTCTACAAATAGACGGTTTCACGAGCTCCACCAAGGGGTCAATTAGTAGACCTCATGACTTCAACATGGTTTGAATCTTTTGGATTTTTTTTTCTTTTACTTAGGTTATCCATATCAATGATATTATTACTATCAAAGACATTATAATCATTGTAATGTTGTTACCATTACATATAGCAATATAAGATACAAGAAAATATTTCCAAACACCAAGTAAACAGGTGAGGTAGTGCTTGTAACTGGCTCAATGTTCAATGCTTCTAGAATTATTTGTATGCAAAGACAATTAACAAACTAAACTCAGTGGGCATGGCATGTACATACATGTTTAAACCTGATGTCAGGTCATAAAACAAACCAAAAAAACATCAGATCCTCAGACTAATACACATAAGGTTCAACGCATCCAAAACACACCACTCATCCACAACACGTCCACAAAAAACAACAACAACACGCAAACAATCCCTCACCCAAGCTCTTCACCTCAATATCAACACAAAGAGCACCTTCCTACTC